CCTCCCCCCCGTTCGTTCTGCTACCCCTGCTAACCAGTCAAGAAAACCCCTCCCTCACAAATTGAAGATTTCAGCCCAACTTGTCGCAGCGACAGCTTTAGTCTCGAGGCCTCTTCAGCCTTGGTATATACGACCCGGACTGCTTATAAATCTACCACTGAATCGCCACAGACCCGACCAGACGTGAGGATCCCATTTGCCATCGTTTTTTCACAAGACTCTCGATTAACGATTAGTGAAAAACTAATTGTGCGTATAAACTACTCTACATTTTTCAGCTAGATCTGAGCGAACCTCAAAAGACAGTGCAGGTACCATTTTGAAGTTGGGTATCTTTTATTGAAATAAAAGGGCTAATTATGATGCGAGTGACGGGCAGAGAGAACGGCAAAATCCCGAAAAGTGGGACCCTTATTCTACTGAGACCTCTCACGACTAAAGTGGCTTCTGAGGGAGGCTCACCAATGAAATATAAGAGGCAACACCATTAAGAAATATGGCTGTCTGAATAAGAATACACTTGAATCCCTATGTGCAACGAGAATCGAGTGATATTATAACAACACATGAGCGGGTGCGAAGCTCCAGGTTGTTTCGCGGAAAATTCTTGCATTCTTTCTTGACATGAATGTGTCAGTTGTGATCACTGGAAACAGCACACAAAGTTTCACGCATGAAGATTCGGTTTCCGAAGAGAAACAAACGTACAAAAACTACACTCTATGGACAATCGAAGGTAATTCGGGCGGAGCCAAAGGCGAGGCATGGAAAGAAGTTGGCCTTTGGCCGGCTACGTATCAAGGCGACGCAAGTTGATTCCGCCAATGCAGTTGCCGTTGCAGTTGTACTCTAAAAGTCGTCCTAATTCAACTCTCATTTACTAACCTCAGCTTCCTATAAAACACATTACCAATTCAACTGGACAATTACTATAAGTCGTCATTGTACTGTGGTGGTCTCGCTTGACGCGCGCTCCTGATTTTTAACGAAAAGAGTGATCACTCGCAAAAAATTACAGCGGTCTCCGCCTTCGAATTTCACGATATCAGCGACATCGACAACTGGAAACGCGATATTCGATGATCTTGGTTAATAGTCATCGGAACTTTTTGCTGGACCCTAAAGCAAATTTAATTCATTTTCGTTAAGTGAGATTTGAATGGATCACATCTGCAGGCGAGAGCGAAAGTGGTAAGTGAAAGCCGGCGGCGCTTATTACAGGCAGGAGGTCAGGAATAAAATCTAGATCGTAAAGGCTCGATCAACAAATTCTCCATGCCGGGGTTGATCAGTGTCCAGAATTCGTCTGAGAGGATAAAAACATTGACTTTGCCCTCCTCTAGCTTGTCCGCAAGTTATTGTATAGCCACTAAAAATCAAAAGTACCACTTTAGATTTCGAATGCATGAATGATGCCGTGCATCCCAAAAAGGTTACGGGTCCTACCCTGCCCAGAAAGCTCTACTCATCCCTATCCTTATCTCTCCGCCAGACTCACACTCCGCACCTCGCTAAATCGGATCCCCCGTGCTCCAGCTATGTACCGGAAGTAGCTGTAGTAAGCGTTCGAATTTTTGGCCGGCTTTTCGTGGCAACGAAGGCAATTGTGAGAGTTCCTGCATGTTGTCGCGATCAACACGGTCCTCGAATTTCGGATCGTTTTTTAACCTCAACCTCACTGAATACAGGGCTTTATTGGCTTTTCAGCTGGGCCGTTAGTCCCGCTTTCTCATCTGAACATTAAGCGCCCGCCATTTTATTTTGTCTATTTTAATTCTGTCAAATTCAATTCTTCCAACAGTTTCTAACTGTCCAAGAACGACTTTCTCTTAATCTTGGCATGGAAGTTGATGCGAATAGTTTTGCTGTAGCCTGACCAAGATTTCAGCACTTTTTATTAGGCTTACGTTTCGGCCTCTTCGCCTTCGTCAGAGCCTAGATCTTTGTCGCCAAGGCGCAAGATCGACCCCCAAAAAGCAGACTTCGTGCGTGGTAAGACTTCCACTTGTGCTCATCCCCTGAGTCTAACAACACCAACCTCCAACCTACCCTCCATTCCTTTCAAATTCATTAGCACCTAACTCGAGAGATAAAACGCTTTCGCTATAAGATGCCGTTTGAGTTGGTACGTTTGCCCAGAATGCTGGAGCTCTGGAGGCGATGAATTGAGAAAGGTCGTTTTTCCGCATCGGGTTGTGTTTTTGACCCTCTCCTCGTTCGGCAGCTCCGAGACGCCTTGAACAAGGTGACAGTTGATTAGACCAGAATTTCTACTTGTGTGATGATGCTCTTGCAGTGTCACCCTCCGGTCCCAGCTATTCTCCCAACCCTATGTGTCAGGTCTCACCCCTGCATAACATGACGACTAAGGCCCTCCCGCCTCCAAAAGAACAACCACTTTGACACAGATGTGTCCCGTCTCTTTATAATAACGGAAATGCCTCGACCCCAATTCGCTACTAAACTATGACTTTTTTGTGAATTTTGATCGTTAATGTTAACTGAGTGCTTTCCCCACTCGTAGTTTTCACCTGCTGCTGAACGAAATCGCCGACTCACCCGCTAGATCCACTCATTCACAGCTAGCCCACCCACCCACACCCCACCCACACCCCCCCCAACCCCCCCTCTCGCTCAGCATAGTTCAACAGCTTTCTTGTCACAGTTTGTAGAGCTCGCAAATATTAGCCAAGCTTCCTGGCTGAGAAAATCTCTCTTCTCATTAGTCGTGCAATTCAGTAAAGGAATCGCTTTTTGTAGTTCAACAGCCTAGAAATTTTATGAACGACCTTCAAATGGCAATGTTGTCGCGGCGGCTTCCCTATCCATTTTTTGCGACTTTTCCAATATACTTCCGAGACAGCCTTGGCTCACTCATAACGAAATTACGAACTACGTCCAGATTGAGCAGAACCTCCTCAATGGTCCTACGCACGAGTGCCTCTATCAAAACTTTTGGCTATTCGGTGGCAACGTCCGATATCCTACCACCTCTCTCATCATATCCAAGGCTCTAGCTTTCGTTACAATAGCTTTTTGAACTACTGCTTCTGAGCACATTTATTGCGAATCTAAGCCAAGTGCATCGTTAATATCTTGAACTGTTCCCGCTACTTTCAGGTCTATTTAAAGCTAGAAAAAGAAAGTCATGCCAACTTGCTCATCGAGTATACCGCATTCAAAGCTTTGAAAAAGCTATAAGAAAATATTTTAGAACAAAGTTGAGCTAAGCATTGGATAGAGCTGGAAAAGCTCTTCAAAATGATATCCATACCAATTGCAGTTTCCTAGATTTCAAGGGAAATAAAGCATCCAAATGTGGAGTGTCAGAAAACGACAGAACTTTCTGAAACACCTAATATTTCATTCTTTCTCATTGCCTTCGACTTCTTTCTACATTCGCTTTCGTTTTCGACCCCGAGCGGCTTCAATTCTTGGCATTTTTCAGATGTGGCGAACGTATGAACACTATCTCAATAGCTTACCAACATGCGAAATCGAAATGTAAGTGAATTTTGTGAGATTTACCCACATATTTATATCTCCCACCTTCTTTCCAGAGAATGCTACAGAATAATTGCTTCATAAAACAAGGGGATAAGAAAGACGTCACTTTGCTCATGACGCGCACCAGCAAAGTGTTATGTTACGCTAGCTGCAAGGTAGATGGAAATCCCATGGTGAATTATTTCTGCTCTCAGTAAGCAGAAGCAAACCCTTCTCCATTACCTTCACCATCTGCCATCGAAAGCTTATTGTATACTAATTGCATCAGCCTGGGACACAGCTCTGCCGACCCGGGCTCAACATATAGAACCCATAATGGCCTACCTACCCCTACTGCCGATGCTCCAGCAGAAGAGAGTTGCCACAGGCCCCACCGAAAAATGGCCTGCTCCTCCTCAAATAGTAGGGGGAGGGGAAGGGCACGTCCCCTCAGTGAAGATAGAGACGTGCTCACAACACGACATCGCGATGCCGCGACTGAGAGATAATTGCCGTCTTGAATCGTCGATTTCTGGCATGCGTGTATTTGTGTGACTGCAGCTTCTTGGCAACAGAAATAATCTTGTTTGTGTAGTCTGAGATGAAAACGGCCAGTCAACTTCTCTTCAACTAGGTGCCTCGTATTCGCCGACAGCTGTTTCGCTGGATTTGGCCCATCAGTCGTAGCGTAGCAAAAGCTGAGTGTTTGCACAAGGCTCAAAAGACGGGAGTAATCTGGCACAGAAAGCTTTACTGGTTAGGTAATCGGGAAGACGGCACGTCGAAGCGGCCATATCCTCAACTCTGTCCTCAAATTCGATAACGTACAAAGCTTACAAGGGAAGGAATGGTAGGCTCGAAGTGGCTGTTGAAATGATTGTATATTCTCTGAATTCTCCTCCAACCGCTGATTCCGAATTTCTGATTCAATCGCGTACGGCTCTCCGAACGGAGTTATGAAGCGTAATAGCTCAGTGGTGATGGTCCGGGGTGGCAGGTAAAAGCTCGTAGGATCGGTTCCTTTGCAAGTTTGTTGCTTTGCTTTTGTCCGCAACACTTCTAGAGACAAAAGCAAAGCAACCAATTTGCAAAGGAACCGATCCTACGAGCTTTTACCTGCCACCCCGGACCATCACCACTGAGCTATTACGCTTCATAACTCCGTTCGGAGAGCCGTTTAGCAGATTTGGAAGGCAGATTTGGAATCAGCGTCTGGAGACGCATCAGGAGGTATACATTTCATTTCGAACGGCCACTTCGACCTACCATCCTTCCCTTGTTAGTGGGGTTGGTATAAAGGCGAAGATTTTGTGGTATTACCTCATGCGCACGTCGCATTAAGCTACTGTGTGAGCAAAAGGCTGTAAATGTGCTAATCAGGCTCTTCTTTCCAAGACCATTCCTTGAAACATTCCGATTGAAAAATTTTCTACAATTTAGCCAACGAGATTGTGGAGCGACTATTACTATGCTTGGGATCGCTGGAACCGTCAACAGTTCTCGAACTGGCCGGAATGAAAGTCGATCGGCTTCAATTTCGTGTACCCGGACTGCCGTTTTACAAGCCTGCTCGATCCACGGGTAATGTGGGCATTTTTGAGCAGTTTCAAGAATGAAAGTTTTACTACTGATTTAAGTAAATTGAAATTTCTATTTTATATGGTTACACTTCATGAAGCAGAGACGCGCTCACATTATAAGCGAGGTTACCCAGGGCTGACCGCAAGCGACCGGACTTTGACAAAGATGTGCAATTCGTTCGCCGCGCGCGAATTGTAACGACTGCAGCTCGCGAAGAGAGTGCGACAATGAAGAAATCAAAAATGTGTAAATAGGAACGGAAAGTGGTTTTCTTCATTTCCTCTGACCAATCGTCATAATTCTCACAGATATTTTAATTGAAAAAATCCGAGAGAACTTCACTCGAAAGCTATCTATTAGGACTGGTGATACTACTTACGCATGGGTGCCTCAACCGAATTCCAGAAATAGAAGTTTCCAATTGCATAGTTTATGTTCTCGTAGAAAAGTTTATGACGCTTGTATGTGTTTAAGTTGTTAACCGGTATTGCCCAAGTTGATGCATCCAAATTTTATGTCAAGGCGAAATCTAGAACCAGAGGAGGGCCTGAGAAAATTTCATATGCAACGCCAAGAACTAACGTGAGGCTCTATAGCTTCACCTGTCGTGCGGGTTCTATATTTGTTTCTCTTAAATCAAATGTGGCACTCTCACTCCCACTTTTGTGCTTTTCAAGCGCCTGGCTAAGAAAGAATTGTTGAGTTATACATAGCTAGGGTATATATGGAAAACTTGTTGTAGTGTTGCCCAGGTACCCTCCAGGAGGCCCATCGCGCGGCAAGAAGGCCAATTCGGCGGACGAGTCGCGGCGCGTGATGTGCGATAAAGACCTGCAATGCGACATTCTACGACTCGTTCCGTGAGTCGTGCATTTTTGCGCCGGCGACGGGCCCTTCTGGGGGGGGGGTGGAGTACCGTGTTGCCCCATATCATGGTTGTTACTGCACTGACCTGCCCTCAAGGCTTTTCAATATAAAAGATAAATAAATGCTGAGGCGATGGTCCACGCGAGGCCCGAATGCTGCTGGCTCTAGTTAGCTCGCACCGGACCCATTCACCCGTAGCATTCTCCGTCTATTATTGAGCCGGCGCTTGCCTGACCTGGATTTCGAAGGTAGGGTTTCGATTTTTGGAACAAGTCATCCAAATGTAAGCATAATTCCAATTATGAAGAGATTCTCCGAAACTCAGGTTTCTGCTAAGATTGCATGCTCATACCTATAAAAAAAATCGGCATTACCCATACCACTTTTAAGACCCTGGCACTTTCCAAAGACTTTCTACAGAGAAGTTTCTTTCAGAAGAGCGAATTGCTCGTCGTCTCAGCATGATGTCCTACTCTGCCATCGACGAGAAGAAAGACCGCTTATCAAGATTCGAAGAAAAAGGTGAGTGCAATCAAGGGGGCAAAGCGTGTCATAAACAAATGAATTGATTTTCTGACTTTGGGCAATAAGGGTTAAGAGAACCGCCAAACTCAAACTGTTCTTTATTTTGACGCCGCAAACGTTTGTGATCTAGCTAATGGACTGTAACTGAACGCCTCTCCGGTCGGTTTTTCTCATAGAAATAGTCCGCCCTCTGCAGCTGCCCATTATATGTGATAGCTGCTGGTTCGGATTTGGAATCGGTTTCCCAGCTATCTCGTGATTTTGAGAGCGTCTTCTCTTAACACGAGAACAGGATAATAATTGTTCGACTATTCTTTGTGAAGTATTCAAGTAAGTCATGTTTCCGTAATATGTTGATTAACTTCACTGGAACTGTCTAGCTGGTTCGCGCCCCTTTTCCAATCACTCTTACCCGCTGAAGGAGCCTCTCTAGGCGCGGAAGCTTTCCCGGTCACTCAGTTACCGTGCGGTCTAGTGATAGAGGTAGTTTTTCTTCCCCCGTTCTGAAGATTAGCATAGCGATTGGACAAAAGTGTTCATAGTTATTCAGAAAGGCTTTTTAGACCATTTTTGTTGCGACGAACGAATTTCTGGAGACCTTGGAAGCGAGCCTGTTACATAAGGGGCGGCCACAGGCCTCGGCTAACCATAAGTCCGTCTGTGTTAGAGGTTTAGCCTGTGAGAATCCTCACCCTCTTCCTATCTCTCGTGCCCACTTCACTTTCGCTACCCACTCCAATGAAGATTGCTGAACTCCTCAAAGTAAGGATCTGCCCGCACTGATCGCCTCTCCGGTTCCACTAGGCTTGAGCGTGTGGAAAAATCTGCGAGCGCCAGACACCCTATTTTCTGAAGATTGCTTTAGGGATGCTATTGTGGCGAAGAGAGTAGCGAGCAAAATTCCCAAACCGACGATTGTTTCTCAAGCATCCACGCCAATCACAAGTGAAGAACGAGTGGCCATCGTGAGAAACCTCTTTCGGTGCGTTTCTTTTCCTTCTCGTTTTCTTCTTTTTTCTCCACTTTGTCGAGTTCTCGTTAATTTCACGTGAGAAACCCTTCCAGAAATGCTACAGAAAACGAACTGGCCGTCTATGCGTCTCTACTGGCCGAAGGAAATTTTGCTCGGTTGGCCGAACTGGAACGAGAGAAGAATGCCGAAGCTACGGGACCAGAGTTGCAACGAATTCGAGAAGTAATTAAGGCCGGTGGAGGGATTTCTAACGCGTAACTGATTTTGGGTTGGCTTCGGGTTGATAGACGGATGGTTACAGAAATGATTAGTTGCGTGTGTGAATCTAGCCATTTCTTTATAGAAAATAAAATACCAAAATTCCTTAAGGTCTCGTTGCTGTCGAAGGATCCAAAGACGATAGACTTTCTGGTGCCAGCCACACTGGAAACGGCTCGGAAGGAGCAAAGTCAGCACATTCTCGAAGAGGTATGGACACCGAACAGTCCATCTCCTGTCAAAGAAGGCGGAAGGCCTAGAAAGCGGGCGATCACTTCGCACCCGCGACCACAGCCGTTACGGCTCTTTAAATGGACGCCAACGGTGTGGTTATTTTTGATTATTTTCACATTTTACCTGTTCTCTCCAAAACGTGTTTCACGATTCAATAAATTAGAATATTGCGCTCAAAAGTGAATGTGCTTGAGGCAATTGGCCTACTAGTGATGAAAGAGAACAGAAAAAAACGCTAGGAATCTTCAAATTCACATACGCGCCGACGGTATGGGCGGGGTTTGCGCCCCACCCCTGCGGGAGTCCCATTTGTCTTACCATTAGCCGTTCGTCTGATACCGGGAAACTCGGTATAGAAGGGATCGACCAGTGAGACATCCACAGCAGCGAAGCGCAAACCCTGCCCATAAGATCGATGCGCTATGTGACCAGAAACTATTTTTAGCGGATTTTTTTCGCTTTTTTTCCATTACTGATGAAGCAATCACCACTTTACTACTAAATAATAATATTACTTTCATTTTTGGACGCAATAAACCACACCTATTTGATGGCGTCATGTGCCTTTAAGTTCTTACTTTACACCATGCTGCAAAAGCCGCTCGCAGGCTACTCCGCCTTCTTCAATACTTCTAGAAGACCGTATTATTCTCAACACTAATGCTGCCCAGCTTTGGCAACTTGTCATCGATTAGTATCCATTTTCCATTAACAGTTTTCAACCTGAGAGTTCACACCTTAATTTGTACATATTTACTAAACACTGGTCTAACTCAGCAGATGCCGCCCACCACTACTCCGTCCAATGTCGAGAATAAAAAACCAAGCCGAACCAGGAAAAATTCTCATCGTAAAAATGTGAGTTCCAAGTTAAGACATCTGTCACAATAGTACCGCGCGCGGCGGTCTGATATATCTCTTGTCTGCCCTCAAAATAAATTGACTTATTCAGGTAAACAAGAAAAAGCTCTCGGTTGACAAGCCGTCCTTACACAGACATAACACGTCCGCTCAGGAACAGCTTCCATCTCGAAAAGGTTAGTTGCAGTCAGGAACCAAGTCGGAGGGTGTGAGCAGCGAAATCCGCTGTGGACCCCGGTTACTAGGAACTAGGAAGGTGTTTCATAGTAGCTGGGTCGCTATCGCAAG